TGCCCGCTGTACTATCAAATGAAGTTTGCATTTCTTGTGTGGATGCAACTTCCATATGTTGACGTAAGTCATTTTTATTTTTGCCAAGCTTATTGTTTGAAACATAATTTTTCATTTTCAAGGACTGAATCGAGTCGTACTATAATATAAATCATGCTGCTAACAATTCCATTAAACTTTTGAACTAATTTTTTGGACTGACTAAATCGTGGTGTGCAGTAGAAGGCTTTTTAGATTGTAGATTATGGTGTTCAACCTTGAAGCAGTTTGTTCTGCATTATTATTACGATTATTTTTTGTTATTCAAGAGTCGAAACGAATTACTCATGTCTGCAAGTTTCTTTTAGAATTTTGAAAGGTCCGAAAATAATATGAGATTCTGAATTTAGTCTTATTTTTTCAATTTTTTGTTGAAGTTCTAAAACTGGCGAATTCTAGCAGGGGGCAAAGCAAGGCAAAGGAGATCGATCACTTGGAGAGATTGCTGGAAACTTGAACATCTCAAGAAAAATGGTCCAAAAGCACGAGGTGAAGGCTCTCATGAAACTCAAGCTTCCGACTCTGCTTGACACGCTTCACCTGCGCTGGAACGAGCATTACACGTGGGAAGTTCACGACCAGTGCGCCGTCATCACGGTTGGGGTGTTCAACAACTGCCATGTCAGTGGAAATGGTGACCCTGTGCAGTGGGACCAGAGGATCGGGTAAGTTCGCATCTGACTCTCGACACTCGTGACCGACCGGATATACACACACTCGTACCCGCTGCTCGTGCTCACGCCCTCCAGGCTGAAAAAGCACGGCGAGCTGCACCTGGCGCTTCATTTCACTAGCACGGCGTGGGCCAATATGGTGGCATAATACGGGAAGCCACTTCTCCCGAAAATGCACTACGTACAGCCGATCTCGGTCAGGCACATCGACTGGCTAAGGCACCAAGCAATGCAGATAGTGGCGGGAAAGCTTTCACGAGCCGAGCCACCGCTTAGAAAGGATATAAGTAAAGTTTGCAACACACCATCTCAGCTATAATGAGAATCACCATTCAGAACCTCAATTTCTTTTTTTTTTTTTTTTTTTTTTGCTATTTATGTATTCAGATTTCAGACCAATAATCATTTTTTTTTTTTTTTGTTTTTCTTTGTGATCTGTGATAATGTTCAATGTTTTCTTTAGTCAAAGAAAGTGAGGACTTAAGTGTAAGTATTGCTATAAGTTCATGTTGAGGTAACTATGATTAGTTGAGCATTGTAATTGCAGTTCTCTTGCAATTTTCATTTCAAAATCTGCATTTGTCTAATGTTTCTACCCATGTCATTTTGTCTGAAGTTTCTACTCTCTGTAGCAGGAACAAGTATTGTTGGATTTTACTTGCAAGGTGCATGTGTAAAATGGCTTGATTGTTGTTATTTGTATGTTTTGGCTTTGTAAGTTGCACTCCATTTGTATTCTACTTTCAAGTTCATTTTGTTTATGCTATTTAACAGAACAGAACAGAATAAAAGAAGGAAATATACAAAACAGAACTTGCAAAACCATAACAATTTTTATGCTGACAAAACAAAGTTCAAACAATACAAACTTCCCTATTTCAAACCTCACCTCTCTTTTCCATATTCATCACAATGTCCGAACTGCCAAAAACATTACAATCCTCAAGCTATCAAATCCATAACCAACTAAAGACTTGGCATCATATCCCTTAGGCTCGACCCACGGCTGCGTTCCTCCGACTAACCAACCCTTCCAATTTCAACGCCACCTCCTTCATAGTCGACCGATCATCCCCTTTCACGTTCAAACAGCTCATCGCTAGCCACTGTGAACAATAAACAATTCGCACTTTACCAACGTAGATCTAAAAAAAATAAATATAAATAAATAAATAAAAAACAAAATCTTAGTACAAATACTTTCTTCAACTTTTTTTTAGAAACAGGTTTCTTAAGCAAGAAACGAGTTTCTTGAGCAGAAAATGAGTTTCTTACTCAATAAACTGGTTTCTTGAGCCAGTTCTTGCTCAAGAAACGGGTTTCTTGAGCAAGAGCAAGAACAGGTTCCTAGCTCAAGAAACCTGTTTCTTGGTCAAGAAACCCGTTTCTTGATCAAGAAACCTGTTTCTTGAGCAAGAAACTTGTTTCTTCCTCAACAAAACCCGTTTCTTGCTCAAGAAACCCGTTTCTTGAGCAAGAAACCTGTTTCTTTCTTGCTAAAAATATCCGTTTCTTGAGTAACAAACAATTTTTTGTACAAGAAATTGTTTATTCTTCAACAAACAATTAATTAAGCTCCTAAACTAAAAAAAAAAAAACTCAAGTAACGGTACAACAAAAGTCATGAACTCAAAACACAACCCCTTTTTTTGAAGCACAAAACTTCATTTTTTTAACTCCAAAAAAATATGAGTTCAACAAAATAGAATGATACTAGACAAATCAATAATTTTGGGAACAAAAATAATAAACGTGCTCAAAAAAATTTATTTTACATAATAAAAAAAAATCAAAATTTGGTTTAGGTTAATGTACTTTTTTTCTTTTCAAAGAGGGATTCACTTGTAATGTTGGAGATGATTTTTGGTGGAAGATGATTTTATTGAATTTTGGGAAGAGAATTTTTTTTTTTTTTTT